ACCAACCTAAACACTACTTCTTCTCAAAGATTTCTCTGATTCTAAGAGAGCTCTCATTTTTCAGAGAAGAATGATGACAGGGAACTTGCCTATCAGTTATCAAAATCTATCATAAAGTTATATTAATTAAAACAGTTGTTGTATGAGCACAAAGTGAAAAGGAAACATACTTTTGTGAGGGTTTTAAGATATGTCCAAAATTGGCCCTGGCTGGTGTGGCTCAGTGGCTTGAGCGCTAGTCTGCAAACCAAAGGGTCACTAGTACAGTTCCCAGTCAGGGCATATGCCTGGGTTGAGGGTCAGGTCTCCAGTAAAAGGTACGTGAGAGGCAACCACACACTGATGTTTCTACTCGTCTCTTTCTCCCTCCTTTCCCCTCTAAAAATTAAAAGAAATAAAATATTTTTTAAAAAAGAGAGATACGTCCAAAATTGATGGTCCTTTCTTCAAAACGTGAGGCCTAATTCCCCTCTCCATAATGTAGGCTATATTTGGTGATTCACTTCTAATAAACAGAAAGTGGTGAAAATGATGGTAACTGCTGAGCGCAGATCATAAAAATCACGAAGGCCTATGTGTGTGTCTCATCACTAGCAGAAGCCAGCTGCCCTGTCATGAAGACACTTAGGGAGTCCTACACAGAGGTCCAAACAGCAAGGAATCAAGATCTCTGGCCAAAGTCACATGGCTTCTCCAGGTGAGGAACTGAGACCTACCAACAGCCACGTGAGTGAGCCATGTCAGTTTTGAAACTTCCAGCCCAATCAACCCTTCAGGTCACTGTAGCCTCAACTAAGAGTGTGACTACAATCTCATAGGATGAAGGCTGGAACCATCCAGCTAAATTTCTCCTGATTTCTGACCCACAGAAACTGTATGACATAATATTTATTATCATTTTAAGTCACTAAGTTTTGAGGCAATTTGTTACATAGCCAATGGATAACTAATACACTTTATCTATAGATATGTTTACCTTTTGTTTTTTCTGTCATATACATATATTGCCTATTTTCGAAAATAACTTGTTTTAAAAACTTCTTCCCAAAACATCCTTTCTCAAACAAATTTTATTAGCTTCTCTAAATTAATAGAGCTCACTTTTAGAGATGTTCTCTGTTAAAGACCCCCCCAAAATATAATAACTACTACAAATTGGTACTCTTTTAGAGTCTACTGGAAATATCCACTTAATGGTATATTAAGATCCTGAGCACGCCATAATTTATCAGGTGGTGGTACAAAAAATTAACAGAATCAGTACAAACAACAGTGTGATATAACAACACAAATGTAATCTCTATAGTTAAAAAGGACCTCAAGGGCACTTCAAGGTTCAAGTTTCATTCAAGAATAAAAACATATACTGAAGAATTCACATTCAGACACAATTAGATAAGAAAGCTTACTACTGATCCAAGTAGCTTTTTAAAAAAAAACACACGAAGTTTTAGCAATAGATGGGTTATATGCGTCAAATTAGTCTTAAAAGATTTTCCTCAGATTTAACTTCAATCTAGCTACTCTCCTTCCATGATCTAGCAGAGAAAAATTAATGGAAATAAAACAAAATCAGCTTCTAAGGAACAACATGTTATAAAATACTGCTAAGATGAAAACATAAATAAAATCTTTTCTGAAATGCATTTAGTAAAACTGGTTTGTGACATCTCACAAGAGTTTTATCGAAGACACAGAAGGACTTACTCAGACTCACTCCCTCTGGGCTCCAGCACCGGGGCAGCACCTTGAAGGGCACCAGCGGCATATGGGGAGGAACTGAAGTATCAGGCCTCAGGGCAAGGGCTGGGGGACAGTTTCCTCCCAGACAGAAATGCAGACAGCAGCCCACTGCACCTTTTCTGAGCCCTCCCCACACACAGCCACAGTGCTGCGGCACCTTATCTGAATCTCCATCAACCTGGCTCACATGGTAAGTTCCGCCCTGATGATTACCTAAGGGTCCCATGCATCCAACTTATGGGCCCACCCCAGTGGTTAACAGTGGCTCTTCCATATGGAGGGCTGGGCTATGTGCAGGCTTCAGACCTTCTTAAATCTGCTCAAACAAGCAACAGCTGAGCTCAGACCCCCGTGACTCTCGCTGAGTGGCCCCAGGATTGACACTAGCAGCAGCCATCTATAGATCGCTGTACACTAGCAGCAGCCATCTACAGATCGCTGTATAGCTTACCCCAGACACAACACAGATGGAGACCGACCTTGGCCTGCACCACCTGGGCAACCCGAGGGCCTGCACACCCAGTGGACAATTACAGACCACATCAGAGCACCACCCAACCACCTCCATAAGCCATGGAGGGAGATGGTTGCTGGCTGGGGATCACAGCCAGTTCTCCAGCTATCTGGACTGGGTAAATCCCTCCCATTGACCTGCTGACAGCAATCAAGACTCATCTATAAGAGGGGGGAGTACTCAGCCCACACAGAGGGTGCTCCTAGAGTACACAGCTTGGGAGATAGGAGAGGCTGTGCCACTGGACTTTACAGGACACCTACTACATTAGGCCATGATACCAAGACACAGAGTTAAAGAAGCTCTACCTAACACACAGAAACAAACACAAGGAGGCTGCCAAAATGAGGAGACAAAGAACTATGGCCCAAATGAAAAAACAGATCAAAACCCCAGAAAAAGAACTAAACAAAATGGAGATAAGCAATCTATCAGATGCAGAGTAGTACAAAACACTGGTTATAAGGATGCTCAAGGAACTCAGTGAGTACTTCAACAGAATAAAAAAGACCAAAGCAGAAATGAAGGATATACTAAATTGAAATAAAGAACAATTAACAGAGAATCAACAGCGCAGTGGATGAGGCCAAGAATCAAATCAATGATTTGGAACATAAGGAAGAAAAAGACATCGAATCAGTACAGCAAGAAGAAAAAAGAATCCAAAAAATCGAGGATAGTGTAAGGAGATTCTGGGACAACTTCAAATGTTCCAACATTCATACCATAGGGGTGTCATAAAGAAAAGAGAAAGAGTATGAAAATGGAAACCTATTTGAAAAAATAATGAAAGAAAACGTCCCAAATTTGGTGAAGGAAATAGACATACAAGTCCAGGAAGCACAGAGTCCCAAATAAGACAGACCCAAAGAGGACCACACAAAGACACATCATAATTAAAATGCTAAAGGTTAAAGATAAAGAGAGAATTTTAAAAGATTAAGGTTCTTAATCTTTTAGATCTCTCTTAAAAGAGAGAATCTTAAATCTAGGAAATTAACTGCTTAAAAGCAAAACAGTTAATTCCCTAGCAAGGAGTTCCCCTGAGACTTGCAGCTGATTTCTCAAAAGAAACCTTACAGTCTTGAAGGGACTGGCAAAAAGTACTCAAAGTGATGAAAACCACGGACCTAAAACCTAGATGACACTATCCAGCAAGCTATCATTCACAATGGAAGGGCAGAAAAAGTGCTTCCCAGCACTTTAGGTAAAGCTAAAGGAGTAAATCATCACCAAACCATTATTTTATAAATGTTAAAGGGACTTATTAAAGAAAGATCAAAACTATGAACATTAAAACATCAATAAGTACATAACCATTAACAACTGAATCTAAAAAACAAACTAAGCAAACATGCAGAACAGAAATAGAATCATAGATATAGAGAACATTGGGATGGTGGCTGGCGGGGAGGGGCTCTGGGGGAAAGGGGAAAAAGTGAAGGGATTACAAATATAAATTAGCAGTTACAGAATAGGCAGGGGGATGTTAAGAGGATATCTAGGAAATGGAATTGCCAAAGAACTTGTATGCATGACCCATGGACATGAACAAAGGAAGAGGTATCGCCAGAGAGAATGGGAAGTGATGGAAGAGGGGGGCAAAAGGGGAGAAATTGGGAAAACTGTAATAACATACTCGATTTAAAAAAAAAAAAAAAGTAAAAGGAAGTATACACAGCCCTGGCCGAGTAGTTCAGTTGGTTAGAGCATCATCCTGACACGCCAAGGTAACAGTATCGATCCCTGGTCAGGGCACATAAAAGAATCAACCAATGAAAGCATAAACAAGTGGAACAACAAATCTATGTTTCTCTCTCTCTCAAATAAAAAAAAAGAAATTATACAAATAATAAAACCATAGTTGGAGAAATGGGAGCAGAGAATCTTAGTCAACAGTTATGCCTACATACATATTAGTGAATAATTTAGTTATTAGTTCAATTGTTTGATAATTGGGGCATATTAATCCAAAACCATTAGATGTTAAGTGGTTCTGTCACTTACTAGTTGTATGACCTTGAACAAGTTATTTCACTTCTCAGTTTTCTCATCTGTACAACAACCTAACAGTTCCAATCACATAGATGGATTTAATGTCTAAATTACGTCATTCTTAAGCATAAAAGCACACAGTAAGCAGTGAATAAATGGTACTCAGGAGTGGTATTAGTGGACTATGTATATTTGAAAAGTAATATTCTGAAAGCATTTGATTTTAATAAATCTAACTTTATTATTGAAGTGATCAGGTAAAAAATGTTGGAAGGCGAGAAATGTACCAAAAGAGAAAGTAAAAAATCCTAAATTTAAAGCCCACTTAATACAATATACACATTTGACAGGTGAATTCATAAAATGTTAAGTCATAAATTATAATGACTACCTACTTATCAACATTCTTCAACTATCCAGAAGTTCATGGGCTTTATAGGGAACTTGAAAATTTAATTGATATTAAAGCATGATTTGATCAAGATTCTGGCAAACGTAAAAAGTAATAATTCTGGTAAGTCAGCAAAACATTAAAACAAAAAGAATAAAAATAAAAAGGGAACATATTTTTGGCTAATACTTATAAGTCTTACATTAACTACCACCCCCTAGTTTTTGTTGTTTAATATTTCATTGGCTTAAAAACAGATTTTGATTCGATACTGTTAGAAGCTAAAGACAGATAGAGACATAAAAGACTGACTGAAAAGCAATTAACATATTCACAAAGCCAGTGATAAATTCTTACCACCATAAAATCGGAGCATACAGCCGAGGTCGGGATTTGTTGCTTCCTGCTGTATGCGCACAGGATCGTCATATCCCAGCCTGGATAAGTAATCATACACAATCTGAAGAGGTCGTTCAGTAGGTTCCAATCTCCTGCTTGCACAATGCAAAAAAAAATTTTAGTAGTAATTAATAAAAATGCTTCATTTAATTTTTAAACTTTTTTAATATACTCTAGATGTTTACTTCTGTATCAAGATTTTCTTTAATATCACATGATACAGCTAATCTAAATAAGTGGTGCTTGAAGTTTTTGGTCCCAGGATCTCTCTATAGACTTTGAGGACCCCAAAGAGCTTTTGTTCACATGGGGTATATGTATTAATATCTAATGAGTTAGAAACTAAAATCAAGAATTTCCAAACACTTGCTTATTCATTTTTTGTTTGTTTTTGGTTTATTCATTTTTTAAGCAACAGTAATAAACCAATGACGTTAACATAAATAATATTCTCTGAAAAAATATTTCTCAAAATGAAACAACTTTAGTGAAGAGAACAGCACTGTTTTGTATTTTTGTTAGTTGCTACTTGAATGGAAAACAACTGGATTCTCAGATCTGCTTCTAAATTCAATCTGTTGTGATAACATGCTATTTAGCCTCTAGAAAACTCCTCTATACATGCACGAGAAACTGAGAGTAAAAAAGAAAATCAATGCCTTAATATTATTACAAAATAGTGGGGACCTCACGGACCTTTGCGAAGAGTCTCAGGGGCCCTTACAGGGTCCTTTATAAACCTGTAGTCCAAACTCAAAGGCAGCAAAATTATGAGATATAAAAGTTTATATTTGGCCATATCTGATTTCATGTAAGCTTCACACACAATGAGAGATGCAGACTTTAGGTTGCTGGCTATGTCCCATGTCCCTCTCCTTCACAGATGATTCTCCCATAAAAATTAGGAATAAAATGGCCCAATAATTCCACAGAAATCATTTATCCTACATGGTACTGACTGAGAGCAAGTAAAATCAGAATATCTAGTAATCATTGGTGGTCTCTGGTGACACTGCATATTTTAAATCACACAGACTTAAAATACTTAAAAATATTTTAAAAACAAAAATAAAATGATCATTGCGTATTTTCATAGAAAGGGCTATAATCAGCAACAACAGCAAGATGGCTCTTTTACAATTCTTTTATCAGAAAGCAAACAGTTATAAAAATGCAGTGACTAAGAGTATAGGATCCAAAAGTCAGACTGCCTTGGTTTGTGTCTCATTTCTGCCACTTATCAATTACATGCCCTTGGATAAGTTATTTAACCTCATCGTCTTAAATTCTTCATCAGTATTATGGGAATAACAATAATACTTAAATTAGAGAGTTCTTATTAAATCTGTTTACTTACAACAAGATATTATATAGTATGTAGTGCTTAGTAAAGTATCTTGCATGTACTTTTAATTAATGTTTTAAAAACGTCTTAGGACTGGAACTAAATTTTACATAGAATAAAAATAGACTATTTCCCCATCTGAAATAAACAAAAAACAAGTATAGGAAAGTCTATGTGCATTCAAATGGTTTTGAAGAACACTGGTGTTTATGTCTTAAAAGGACTCTGTTTAGAAAACTTAAGAATTTATTAATTATAAGTAACATGATACACATCCCATCATGGCAAAAGTACATAAAGGACATTTGTTTTGTGGTTAACGAACTAGAAAATACTGCTGCCAATAAGATTTAAGTAAAAAATAACATGAAATGGAATGCTACAAAGCTGAGTGTAAATATCTACATCAAAATGATAGTTTAGGGAGGGAAATCATACTGAGGAGCACAAAAATAAATAAATAGAATAAAAAAACCACCTGGCGCCTCATGACTGCTCAGCTCAGATTTTTAGCTTCTATAAACTCAGAACTACTACATGCAGAATGACCAAAGAACAAAAAGCCTATTAAGACCAATAAATGTTGATTTTAATAGAAACAAAAAAATAATCTTTTCAGAATAAAGACATCAGTTACAATTAATCTCTAGTCAAATAAAATAAAAATTCACAAAGGGCTATGACAATATTAGGCATTTTCCTCAAACAATGGTAGAATTCTAAGAAAGACATATTTTAAAAGGGACTTCTAATAATCTGTATCCTGGAATGGTCAATTAACCATCTAATATGACTGACTGAAGGATTGACTTGAAGACAAGGAGGCCAGGGAATAAAGAGCTATCTCTTCTAGTGTCAAAAAGGATTAGACTTATGAGTACTATGGACTGCTCCAAAGAATGGGTCTAGGAACAATGAGAAGTTGTTGTACTGGTAAACAGGTTAAAAATGAGGAAGAACCTTAATAATTAGAACTGCCTATAATGAAATACACTGCCTCTCAAAATAGCTCACAGAGCTAGAGAGCCATCTGTCACCAATATTTTAGAAGAGACTACTTAAGAATCACATTGGTTCAGATGATCTTCAGGGTCTTTTAGAACTCAAGAGTCTATTTGATATCCAAAATATCTTCCTAATATAACACAAATTCTACCAGAACTCTGCTATTACTTTTGGATATAGAGTTCAATGTATTTAAATATCAAAGTTCCATATAATGATCACACATTCAGGGCCAAGAAATAATATGTTTGGGTTAAATCTCACTAGTTCAATTTTTCAATTTCTCTCTAGAAAACCAAGGGAAATGGAAACATCCTAATTTTGACAGACTTTACATGATCAAATGCCCTTTCCTAAAAAGGCTCTGTAGATCGATAATACTACAGAATTGTAAACTGAAACCTATATAAATTTATTAACCAATGTCACCCAACAAATTCAATTAGAAAAGAATAAAATAAAAAAATAAATTTAGAAAAAAAAGGCTCTGTAGGTTTGAAACTCTCTCTATATATTTCCACCTAAAAAAAGCATTCTCCCTGCTGGGAGAAGAAAAAGCAAGAGAATCTTCACACCTCTTATTAATTCAGCGCAGATGAGTAAACAAAATATTTCAACGACTGAAAAAACAAGTAAAATGAAGAACTAATTCCATTTACTTATTAAACTCATCTGCTTAAAAGAGTAGAGAGTAAGGGGGAGGGAAATGCTATAATATGCTTACAGATCAATTTTGTGTTTCAAAGTTCCAAGAGTTTAACAGGCTGGTAATTAGCTACGTGTTAAAACTCTCACAAATGAAAGGAAAATTGTACACTGCAAAACAGGTGTAGGAGAGAATAATGTTGGCAATGAAAAGATCCAAATACTCAGCATCTGAAACTTCTAACTGCTCTAAGGAGAGACAGTAAGATTACTGTAATATTTTCAGTTTGCTTCTACAGCTGCCGGGAACTACTATGCCCTTGTAAATCTGAATATATATGAATATGGTTAGTCCTCTTCAAGCCACCAACCAATAAATACAGTAATGCTATCAACAACTGGTTTATAACTCTTAGCCAAGAGTAGTAGCCAACAGTTACTCTAAATAGTGCCCACAGGTAAGAGAGAAGTAAATTTTACTCCAAGTATCACTTCACAAGAATTCTAGTTAATAGTGGGAAACAAAAGTTCACATTACTAAAATCCAACAAAGGGAATAATACATTATATCGAAGACCCTAACAAAGCACAGCTACATTCTCTACATCAAATTCAGATTAAAACCCAATCCCTAGCCTCCTATAAAAGTAAAATCTGCAAATGTTAAGATCAACAATCTAGATAAGACAAACAGCAGCAATAAGGATACTTCAGTGAATGTCTACTCCATGCCTGACACCATGCCGGAAGCGTTTTACATTTTACAAAGCTATACCTATTTTGCAAATAAGAAAAATGGGGCTGAGAGTCACACAACTAGTATATAAGGGCATCAAGGTCTGAACCTGTGCTGGTTTCACTACACACCTAACCTCTTTTAGGCAAATCACATTATTTTACATAAAGTAATTTATGCAGGAGAAAGCTCAAAGCATTTCATAGGTTAACTTACATCAAGGAACCTAAAAAGTTGCTTTAAAATTACTGTATTCCATTAAATCTAATACACCATCATTTTGCATCATTGCTGTATAATAAAGAATCTTACTAGTCTTTGTCCCTGACTCCTGGCTAGGGAGATTCTAAATCCTTGGAATTTCCTGAGTAATGGGAGTGCTTTAGTGTGATGACTCAGGATGGGACTGGTCACCAGAAAGGCAACCACGTAATGAGAGGACTGCGTTGGGGCTAGGAGGCAGTCCGACCTTGAGGGAGGAGCGAGGGCTGAAGGTTGAGTTCAAGAACATGGTCAGTGATTCAATCAATTGAGCCTACCCAATAAAAACTGTACTAAAGTTCCATGGACCTTCCTGGTGGATGAATACATTAATATCCTGGGTTGGTGACATGAGGGTTGGTAATGTAAGCTCTACCTTCAGGACCCCTGTGCGTCTCTTCATTTGACTGGCCCTGATTTGTATCCTTGTAAGTACAGTGCTTTCTTGAGTTCTGTGAGTCATTCTAGTGAATGAGTGAATTATTGAACTTTCAGGGATCATGGAAATTCCCAAACTTGTACCCAGTTGGTCAGAAATGTGGCCAGAATCTGAAGTAAGGGCAGTCTTTCAGGGGTCTATGCCCTTAAACTTTTGAAGCCTTTGCAAACTCTGGATGGTTACTGTTGGAACTGTATTGCAATAAGCCAGATGGTACAGCAATAGCCATGAAGAAAAAAAACACTACCAGTTCAATTATGACCCACAAACAACTCTAAGACACAAGCTGATTTCATAAGTATTAAAGTGTAAAAGCAAATAAATTTTAAATAAAAACAAATTAATCAACATCTTACACATTCTTTTAAAGTTTTAAAATAGTACAGAAATATGAAGCACAAAACAAAAAGAATCTCCTTTTCCCTTCCTCAGTGATAATACATTCTGTATATATCCTTGATTTAGTAGGCAGTTAGAAAGAAAGGCACAGAGAAGGAAGGACAGGCCAGGTACAGGTCACCAAGGCAGAAAGCCCAGGCTAGCAACTGGGAAAACAAGTACTGCAGGGTGGGACTCATCCCCAGAGTGACCTTTCTTCCCCTAACGTATCGTTGGTCATGCAATTTAGACCCCCTGACCTTTCACATGGCTAGTCACGTGA